CACGTCTAACAGAGCCGTTCTGCCAACAAACACGATGCTTGATTTACCGTGTTTATAGGGGAGTTATGGGATACCGCTGCTCTTACTTGTTAGTGAAATACTTTTACAAAATGATAATCGAAGGATGCTGCTGCTAGGGACGGAGCACGGCGAAGGTGAGGCTCAGAAAGGATTAGCAAATCGAAACCTCACCTTACCCACCGAAAATCCGCAACTCGCTTCCTACGTTCCCTGACTACTGCTTCCACTGATGCATGCACTTCTATGTTGCACGCAGCCTTATCGTGATCCCTCGCAGTAACTTTTTTATTTTAAAAATGTGCGGAGTTTTTGTGGACTTTTGGAATTCTTCGTAAATGAAACTTTTGGTGTCCCTTTATGTTTTACAACACTTGACTTTTATGAAGCTGACAAGTCGACTTTTGTTCTCCACAGTAGCGAAAGTAGTTTTGATGGCGCTTAGGCCATTCGCTAGATCATTAGATCGAATCCAAATGAAGCGGGTCAAGTTTCCTAAAGCAAAGTGTTCGGCTATTTCCTGTTTGACATGGGCAAATGAAAGTACTGACTTGAATGATGTACTTTGTTTGGTCTACACTGTCTTCGTATGTATTTTTTTATAATATTCGTTTGTTCGTTCTAAACTTGCGTCACTGAGTAGACTAAAATGCGCTAAAAGGACTGCGAATCTGTGTAAATATCAAATGCATGGCGCGTTTAAACAGAACTGATTCATAGTGTAGTGCTTTGCTCATGATCAAGGCCATTTCTGCAAGAATGACGAAGAACAAGAAGATTCGGCACGCATAAACTAACCCAGTTTTCCCTTCATTTCTTATCCTGCTCCGTCCGTTCTTCCCCATCTTTAGTGTTGGGAGTAATTAGCCTTCAACTTAACAACCTAAAACTCACATAATCGGAGCTCCTGATCCGGAGTTCAGCTGGAGGATTCGTGATCACGTATCGCTTCACTGACTCGGCGTTATCCTGATCGTGTAACCGATACAATCCGATACACAGCTGTCCGTACTTTTTCAACGACGTTGTGAACATCTGGCCGTAAGTGGAGTTGTGCTGAAATGTAAATATTATGAAGCTAAAGGAAAATAGGATGTTGAATTACCAACCCCAATTCCCTCGTAAGGGTTGTCGTGTAGAGCGATCTGAGCAATTCGACATCGATCACGGTTCGACAGTGTTTCCGGTGTACTGTAACCGCCTCGAAGACCAGCTCCTTCGGCGAGGATCAGCTCCAACTCCGGTGTGGCACCGCCCGTCACCAGGGTTCGGATCAACGTCAACGCCGAATCGTTGAAATATGTCTAGAATGAAGGCTATTTAGATGATATTTGTAAAATGGACGATTTTTGCTGACGCACTTGTGATTGAGAAGAAATGAGGCTTTGAATCGTTTATGATAGGAAATCGAAACATAAAAATTTTAATTATTTCCTACTCAAAAATAGGCACATTCCACGATCACCACTGCAC